TGGCAAACATTGTAACAACTCATATTTAAAATATTTTCACAAAACGATTTTTTTATAATTAAGCTAATCAATAACATATAGTGGAATTAAGTTGAAAATACACAACCTCCACCTCTGATGTTGGGCTTTTGGACAACAGACTTATCCTACATATCATGACATACCATCTCTTATTGCCACTACATGCAAGGCATGCTTTATCATGCAAATTAAACTAAACAAAGAGAACAAGGAGAAACTGCATTTTTTTTTTTTTTAACAGCACAAGGAGAAACTGATTAACAGTGCATCTGAAATATTCATGGATGCCAAAGGCTAGCTTGATGATAATGGTCGAGTTCAACATGATCCGAAAATCTGAGGAGAAAGGCGAGGTGAGACAAGAACTTCAAGAGGGGTAGCCTTCATATTTGTAATACCAACACTTCCAGTCATATCAACCAATGCATCCGATGGAGTGGAAAAATCAAAAGCATGCAAAACGCTAGCAAGTGCCAAGGGTATAACTTGCATAGCAAAAGACTCCCCTGGACAACCTCTTCTACCTCCACCAAAGGGTATCAGTTGATGGTCTTGACCCTCTACATGTGTATGTGTTTCAATAAACCTTTTCGGCCAAAATTTCAATGGTTCGGCCCAAACACTTGGATCTGTTTGGATCTTCCAAAGGTTCATAATTAAACGAGTGCCTTTTTGAACATGATACCTACCAATCGAGCAGTCTTTTATGACTTCACGAGGCCCTGAAAGAGGTGCTGGAGGGTATAGTCTCATTGTCTCCTTAACTACTGCTTGGAGATAGACCAAATTTCTGATGTCTGATTCTTGCACCAATCTTCCCTTTTCCACATTGATTTCTAGCTCTTCTTGAACCTTTCTCAATGCATCACGGTGGTTCAGTAGCAAGGAGAGTATCCAAGTTAGGGCCGTTGCAGTGGTTTCAGCACCTCCTAGAATCATAGTATGTAAAATGTCTCACAAAGTTATACAAAAAATACGTTACCTATTATAGGAACAAGCGTTTTATTGATAAAATTCAAAATACAAGCTCAACAAAGAAATCCAATACTATTTTACCTAAGAACACAAATTATCAACTTAGAGCATGCGAAAACAACATTAATCTCTAATGTCTAATGTTAACAAAATTAAACAAGGAAGAAAATAGGATTTACCAAACAAGTTGATTTGTTAACAACATCAGCATCAAAACCTGAAAGGTTTGTGCCATCAAGGAGAGAAAGCATCACATCCATGAAATCCTTCTCCTGGTTTGTTCTCTTCCTCTTATGTTCTTCTAACCAATGGCCAAGAAGACTATCCCACTCTTTTGCAGCCTCCTTCATGGCCTTTTCATGGCCTCCCAAATCCAACCATCCTAGAAAAGGAATAGCATCTCTCACCACAAATAGCCCGAACAAACGCATCACTTCAATAGTCACCTTTTGGCATCGTTTCACCTCTTCCTCATCCCCCTCTGCTCCAGCACCAAATGACCTTTTCCCAGCAATCACCCTGAGAATCACGTTCATCGTCAAGTCCTTAAACCATTTCTTCATATCAACTAATACGCGACTGGATCCATCATTTCTCCCCTTGCAAAATTTGTGCAGCTCCTTCAGCCAGGCTTCCACTTCGGTGACTCGAACGTGTTTAAGCAGATCAATCTGCCAATTCGAGAGCAGCTTTAACGTTGTCATTTTGCGAACTTCCCGCCAATATGGTCCGTAAGGGGCAAATGCAAACATGGCGTGATTGTAACCCATGATTTTTGTTGCTATCGATTTAGGGCGAGAGGCTACAGCCATATCTTTGGTTGTGAATAATTCCTTAGCTATCTGCCATGAACTCACCACCACTGCTTGGCGTATCCCGAGCCTGATGCTATAGATAGAACCATATTTATCAGCCATGGCTCCGGGACCGGATGGGTATAACTTTAATCTCATTAAGTTCATCTGGAGTAGTGTACGAGAAGACTTTATTGCTTTTTTTCGGGATTTCCATCA